TAAAGAGCAGAATGTTTTATTTGATAGAAATGATTCTGATCATTTTTATATCAACATTGATGAACAGACACTTTTACAGTGTTTAAAGAACATATTTACATAATTCCATAATTTAATCTACATTTAACGTTTCAAGACAACAAATTATTTTCTTGTATTTATTTTTTATACATTATTGAAAAATTACTTTTGGTTTATAAATCAGTCATTGTCAAACATTAAACTACATATTTTTCTTACTTTGGTCCAGAGAATTTACAGTATGTCAACTCTGCTATTGACAGCAAAGAGTGAAAATAACTCCAACAGAGTAAATTCTTTTTATTTCATTACATAAGCTGTATTAATACACTAATACTTAAATTGAGATATTTAAAAACACACAAAAAGTGAAAGAATAAAACATTTATTTATTATACTGGGAACACTGGTCACAGACAGTGGGAGAACTCAATGACTTCTGAGACGTCCTGGTTCACAGGCTGAAGCCAAGGATAAGAGAGAAATTATCCAAAAGTTTGCTTTTATTTTTGAAAATCCTACCGGTAGTGACGCAGTGTTTCCTGCCAGCTGAGTCGTGTAGTGTCATTAACATTAGCATCTAGCACCGGCGGTTCGGAAGGAACTTTTGACGTTATCAACTCTACCTGTTCGGCTTTAACTGACGAGCCAGAAACGGAACCGGCAGCGAACTTCCAACACGCTGAGTCCAGAACCAGGTGAGTCCACCAGCTTTACTTGGGGGGCTCAGTCGGGTCAGATCCCGGACAGAACCGGACAGGTTAATCTTGTGGGTTTTCAGTGGGTTCTGTTCATATCTGGGTCGGTTCTACAAGGAAGATGGGTTCTGTTCTGTTGGTTTTGGGCTCCAGCTGGTGAAAACCTGAGGTTCTCTTCAGACCAATAGACCCGGAACATCCAAGTTCAGTTCAGATTCGGCTCTTTGAACCTGGTCTGGGCTCCTTTTGCCTGAATCACTGCGGCTTGACGTTCTGCTGAGGTTCTGGAGGTTCAGGTTGATTTGGTTCTGGTGTCGCTACTGATAATACGGCATAGGTCCTGGCCGGCCCGTTTGCAAGTGTTACCATGGTGACTAGAACAGGTTTTGGTACAGGTGTTGCATCAAAATCTGCTAATTACGTGGTTAAATATTGTTATAAATACACTCAGATGGCGGTGAAGAGGTGGCAGAACTCTGAAAAATAGTTTTACGTGCTGACATAATCTACTGGCCTGCACAGTAAAGTCACGGATTATTATGGCCATCAAAATCTGTGACCAGTGTCAATTTGACTGAGAGTTAAATATGGTTATAAGTGTGATATGACTGTAATGAAGAGGTAGCAGAAACATTAAAAATCGTGTTAAAAACGACCAGCACACTTAGAATCATTTCTTAATCGTTTAACGATTTATTAAACGGTCACATTTGGTTTACATATTTTAATGACAGCACATAGGCATGGTCAGTCAGTTTACAGAGTCAAATACGAAGTAATAAATTATGTGATGTGATGGTAATAAAGGAGCCATGAAGTTTACAATCCCAGCTGTATCAGTATTTATGCAGTTTATGTAAATACTCTTCTTCTCCTCGCTGATCTTCAAGACGTACCTGCGCTCTATCGCCCTCTGTGGTCACAGAAAATGACGGGTCACAGATTTTGATGCAACACTTGTCCGGAGCCGGACTTGATAACGGTTCTGGTTGTCCTGGAAGGCATGTGGTCCACGCTGATGACTGGAGCGGAACCTCTCTGCAGCTTCTCGACCAGTGTTCTATCAGTGCTACCTCGTCAGATTTTCCTACTGTAGCACGGATAGACAATTAAGTCTATCTGTCCGTGCTACCCGCCTAAAACTGCCACCGTCATGTTTACAAACAGAAAACTACAGCAGGTTGTGTTAATGTTAAATATATTAATGTTAAATATATTGGATAGCATTATTTGAGTGACGGGACTGAAGTGGAAGCTTAGGAGTTATGCTTAGCTTAGCATTGGAACAATTTATATACAGGACGAAACCACAAGAAGATCACTTCTTTCATCTGAATGTCCTACCCGTTTACAATGAAAAGTTATAGGTGTATGCACTAATCCTTTATTAGAATATCCTACCCTGTTAAAAGTATTTTAAATACAGAGGCGTTTGTAAGAATAAAACAGTATCAGACAGGGGAAACTGGTTTTTATTGGAATTAAGTTAAAGACAAATACAAATCACTGCAACTCTTTCTTTAGGCATTAATCGGTTGTATGACAGACTTTATCAGATGCCGCCACAATGTGTCCACTGAACTGCGCAGGTTACTGTGTTCCTGAAATGATGGGATATTAATATTACACAGTTTCAGTCCCACATAGTATCGCCACCAACATCTATTTAGTAAAGTTTAATAATAAAAAAGAGTGTAATTAAACTAAAATGTAGGGACAGAAAGGCCCACAAAACAACGTATTTTGTCCTGATTAACTGCCAAACAATAACGTGTTTAACGACATTGCAGGCGGCAAACTGAAGCCATTTATAAATATATTTACAAGCTGCTGTCACGTAAACTAAAAGCATGACGTAATACAGCAGCTTAATGAAAGGCAGGAATAAATTAAGTAAAGCTTACCGTAATCTGCATTGAAATAAAACTTTCACAGGTAGGACGTATTTATAAGAAATCTGCTGAGTCAGCAGTATGGGTGAATGAGTGTTTATTTTTTATTCAATGTCACATGCTGTTTTTATTTTGTTTTTTAATTATGTAAAGCACCTTGAAATGCCTTGCTGCTGAAATAGGCTATACAAATAAAATTTGATTGATTGATTGATTGATTGATTTGTGAATGAGTGTCTAAGCTTTCGGTTCCTCTAGACTTGCTAAGGAGCTATAGAAAGCCATTTACCATAATGTGGTTCTGAGCAGTCCAGTACCAAGAGGTTCTGTGGATCAGTACCACCCTCATGATGTTTCCAGTCAGTAGCAGGTTCTGGACCGCCATCCAACCCACATATTTCTCTGGTTCTGCTTCTGACCCATGGTTCTGGAAACCCAGTCCAACCTTTGAAGGTTATGTTTTATTTCTGATTCCTGACATTTCATTATAATAAATTTTACCTGGAAATAAGTTCTGGTTCTGACTCGGAAGGTCCAACAGAATATTTCTAGAGAAGTGAAGGGTCCTGATAAGAACAGGTGATTCAACTGTTCATCAACCACCTCCGGGTCATCTGTGAACAGAACCCAGAAGATCGGGTCAGTGGTTCGGTTGCGTTGAGTTGATCCAAGGTCTGGTTCTGTCCCCAGGTGTGATGCAGCAGACATGTCCCTTCAGGCCACGCTGCAGGACCGGATCAGCTCGGCCCAGGCGCTGCTGCAGCGGGCGGAGCATCTCTGTCCGGGGGTTGAAGGTCACCAGAAGCTGTGTGGCAAGCTGCGGGCCGAGCTGCGCTTCCTGCGGCGGGTGGAGGCCGGAGAGCTGCAGGTGAAGCAGTCTCACCTGCATAGCACCAACCTCACCCACCTTACTGCCATCGTGGACTCAGCGCAGGACTTGGAGGACGTTGTGGCATTGTTGCACGTCTTCAGCTACCGGGACGCCGCTGGCCGCCGCCGCACACTTGTGGTAGACGTGGTGGCCGACATGGGACTCACCTGGGTGAAGGCGGTGGGCCGCAAGGCGGAGGCGCTGCACAACATCTGGCAGGGACGGGGCCAGTATGGAGACAAGAGCGTGGTGCGGCAGGCGGAGGACTTCCTGTTGGCCAGCCGCCAGATGCCCGTCAACTACCGCCACCCCCGCATCGTCTTCGCCTTCTACAACGGCGTGTCCAGCCCCATGGCCGACCGGCTGCGGCACCTGGGCGTGGCGGTGAGGGGTGACATTGTGGCCGTGAGAGTGGAGGAAGAGGAGGAGAAGGATGAGGGAGAAGAGGAGGAGAGGGATGAGGAGGAAGCGGAGGAAGAGGAAGAGGAGGACAACCCAGATGACCCAGAGGGAGAGCTGGCGTCTTCCCTGACCCAGGTGCAGCGTGGGACGGTGCTGGCTCGCCTGGCATTCCCGCTGCCGCCGCTGCCAGAGGAGTGTGGGCGGGTTAACCTGGACATCACCACGCTCATCGCCTACGTGTCGGCGCTCAGCCACGGTCGCTGCCACTTCAGCTTCCGGGAGCTGGTTCTGACGGAGCAGGCTGCCCAGGAGCGCCGGTGGCCGGTTCTGCCCAGCCTCGATGCCTTCATGGCAGGCAAGCAGCTGTTCGCCTGCCACGCAGCCGTGACCGACTTCCGCACCATCCTGGACACGCTGGGCGGGCCGGGCGAGAAGGAGCGCGCTCAGACTCTGCTGGCCCGCCTGCACCTGGTGGACGACCAGCCGTCGGAGCGCAGCCGCCGCCTCACGCTCAGCGCCAAGGTCAACCGCCGTTCCCTTGCCATCTTTGGCACCGGAGATTTCCTGAGAGCTGTCACCATGACAGCCAACAGCCGCTTCGTCAGGGCGGCCGCCAATCAGGGTGTCCGCTACAGCGTGTTCATCCACCAACCCAGAGCGCTAACTGAAGGCAAGGAGTGGAGGGCCACGCCCATCTAAGGAGGCCACGCCCACTTTCACCAGGGCTGATGGGGAATGTAGTTTCTAAACTGTTTGGGATGTGATTGGTCAGCTGGGATCTGCATGTTTCTGTTCAAATTAGAACAATAAAGATTTAGTTCACTTGTCACAGGAAGTCACCTGGATTCAGTCCTTTCAGAATAAAAGTCCCTTTTAGAATCATGTATTGGAGTGAAAACAGGTTCTTGTTCTGTTTGTTTTCATCTCCATCCTGTAAACATGCCTTCAGGTGTGTCATTGGAGCGATGTGCAGGTCCCACCTGCTGTAGCTCACCATCATGAATGATCCTGGGTCCTCCCCACTTGCTAAAATGCTACGCAACTACAGGACAGTTAGCTTTACTCAGGTGTTTTCTTCTTGGAACCAATGTATTGCTCTCCAGATCTGAGACTAGCTTTCAATAAAAAAAAAGTTTAAATCATTATTTTGAAAGCTGTTGTCACTGCTTAGGGTTATATTCTCTTGAGATCTAGCGCCCTCACCAAGATGGCGCTGATCAGCAGCAGCCAGGAAGTAACTTCTGGCTTCTTGCAGTCTCTGGTTAGTGTGACCATAGACATAATAAAAGAATAGACCCTCATGGACCGCTCTCGCCTATTGTCGCCGACGAGATTTAGGGCGGCCATCTTGGAGCGGTACTCCACTCCACTTAGCGTTGCTTATTCGGTTCAGTGTAAGCCACTATATTGTTTAACAAGCTTCCGTTTTCTTTCGTTGACCTTCATTAGCTTAGCTCTCAGTTGACGCGTTTCTGTCCCACGATATGCCTTTGTGCATCTTTCAGTGAATTAAAGAAGTACAACATCCATACAAAGTCTGACGAACTTTACTTTTCTTTGAGCAGATGTTACAGATGACTCTTTAATCTGTAACATGAAAAGTAACGTAACGGTCAAAAAACTGTGTAGAGCTCAGTTGAATGCGCCACATTCAACTTCCTTTCATAAACTAAGTGACAGCACTTTTCACATAATTTCAATTACGTACATTATTTGGCGCTTTTCTACAAAAATCATCATGAAATGGAATCTTATTAACAAAATATCTAATTAAGCAAACAGCATACACAATAATAAACAATGTTACAAACTGACATTTTTGGCTCTCTCTCTCTCTCTCTCTCTCTCTC